AATGCCTCCTGAGGTGGACTGATGAGAATAAACATGGAGCAAGCATGGAGGATGGCAAAGAACTCATTTTTCTGGGTAGAGTCATAGTGGGTTTCTAATACTGTTATTTCCTTGGAGGCCTCATGATAAATAGAGGCCTTTCGGTTTTTTGTAGCATCAGTGAAAACATTTGGGCCTTGAACAGGTTCTCCCATAACCTTTCATTGGGGGGGTACTAAAGTTATTTGCTCTAGCATGGGGAGGAGCAGGCAGGAGGAATGGGGACTCACCTCGGCCCATTGGGAACAATGTGCCCAAGACCAATAGGTTTGCATAATGGCTTCTCGCTGTCCAGGCTCAAAAGCGAGTAAAGGTCACTGCCCAGACAAGTGGACAGCCCTTTGTACGGCAGCTAAGGCTAGTTCCCCTAACATCTCATAATAATTTGGCAGCACCTTGTGAGCCTTCTTTGCATAAACAAATTCTAACAATTTGGGACCTTGGTGTATAACACAAAAAGGGCTCTGTTGATTGACCAAGGAGACCTCTATTGTACCTTTGGGGTCCCATCTGGTGGTCTGGGCCTGGGCAGCAAGTGAGAGTATTTGGGACACTGCCGCCTTAGCAGCAGGAGTCCATGCCTGATGGGAGGTGAAATTTGAATTTCCTTTTAAGATATCATATAAAGGCTGCATTACAGCAGGAGGAATGGGTGTGCGGGCCCTGAGCCATTGGATCTGTCCCACTAACTTTTGGAAGTGATTCAAGGTGATTATCTTATCAAGCACTAGTTCAGGAATTTGATGGCTAATAGAAACGGCCCCCATATGAAGGCCAAGGTATGTGAGTGGGTAATTTTGTTGGACTTTGTCAGGGGCCACCACCAAACCATAATGAGCAAGAGCAGAGACGGTTTCTTTTACCAATCTTGCTAGTGTCTCATCAGTGCCAGTGGCTAATAAAATATCGTCCATATAATGAAGTATTGTGACTTTAGGCCATTTGTCCCTGATAGGGTCCAGCACTTTCCCCACATAAGCCTGGCATAAGGTGGGGCTGCAGCACATTCCTTGGGGCAGGACCTTCCACTGATATCTTAAATCTGGTCCTGCATTATTGGCAGTGGGTGTGGTAAAGGCAAATCTCTTTCTATCTTCTGGGGATAATGGGATAGAGAAAAAACAATCTTGGATGTCTATGACTGTCACAGGCCATCCAGAAGGCACTAAATTAGGGGAGGGGAGGCCAGGCTGTAGGGTGCCCATGGGCTCTAGGGTGGTGTTAATCGCCCTGAGGTCTACCAACATTTGAAATTTCCCTGATTTCTTTTTTATTACAAACACTGGGCTGTTCCAGGGGCTGGACGTGGGCTCAATGTGCCCCGCCTGTAACTGGTGCTACACTATATCACGTAAAGCCTGGGCTTTCTCTGCAGGGAGGGGCCGTTGGGGTACCCAGACTGGGTTATTAGATCTCCATGTTAGAGGAGTGGGTCTGATACAAGAAAATTTCTCTTGTTGCCCAACGGCCCCAATTAAAAATCCTGCGGGGCTGGTATATAAACAGATGCCCCACAAGCCTTCAAAATATCCCTTCCCCATAAATTGTATCTCAAACCAGCAACCACTAGGGGTCGGATGGTCCCTTGCTTATCTGCAAATTGCCAGGGCAGATTCTCTGCTGATACCCATGCTTGTTGCGCCCCTCCGACCCCATTGATCGTTGTGGCATCCGTTTGGACTGGCCAAGATGGGGGCCAAAATAGTTGTGAGATGACAGAACGATCAGCTCCTGTGTCTAATAATCCCTTGAAGGATCGCCCCTTAATTTGGATAGTTGCCCATGGCTTACTGTGTTCTATATGTTGTACCCAATTAATATCATTATTGTGGCCATCCAACAGGGGGAGGGCTTGAGCCACTACCTCCCCTTTGTCTATGTAAGCTGCCGAATCACGTGGGTTAGTTACTATAATCTGTTGCTGGGGTTGGTGAGCAATAACCATGGTGTGGGCAATAACGGGGGTATATAATGAAAGGCCCACCACGAGGGCTGCTTGGAGGGCAGAATTAAGCCCAGTCACTGGCACTATGGTTGTATCTCCGGGGTCGATTTGGAAATTTCCTTTGCTGTAAAGGGGAAGTCCGAACCACAGGGTAGAAGTTGGAGATATTCCTGATGCAGCCCCGAAGGCGCATTCTGAGGGGGTTGGGCTTCCATCTGGTAAGCTTGTTGAGGGGCCCTCGAGGGGCCCCTTGCCCCATTTCCCGACTTCGACTTGCGGCATTCCTTAGCATAATGGCCGGATTTGTTACAATTGTAACAAATTACCTTAGGGTGGGCTCCACCAGGTTTCTGGCGGCATTGCGCCTTGAAATGACCGGCTTTGCCGCATTGATAACACAATTTAGTCTCTTTTGTTTTCAGCACTTCGGATAGTCCTTTTGAAAAAGCCTCAGCGAGGGCGTCCATTTGAAAGGCACTGGACCCCACATGTTCACATTTCTTTATCATTTCCTCTAGGCCAGCATCATTATCTAATGTAAGCACAGCCTTCTGGCAATTTCTATTGGCATTGTCCCGTGCTAGCCTCTGTATAAGGAGGCTGGCGGCTTCTCCCCTGCCCACGGATCTCTCAACAGCCGCCTGTAGGCGGGCCACAAAATCCCGGAAGGGTTCATCAGGACCTTGTTTAATCTGGGTCATGGAGGGCCTTTGTTTCCCCGAAGCCTGAATCCTACTAAAAGCCCGTTGGGCACACTGGGAGACAGCTGCATACACTGTCACGTCATATCACATCTGATCTTCATTTTTCTCATATTTCCCTGCCCCCACTATCTTATGAAAGTCATCTAGGGGAGTGCGACTCTGCATATCTCTAACAAAGCTCTTTGCGATATCTGCAAACAGAGTCATCCATTGCAGGGTTTCTCCTGGCTTAAGGCATACCTTGGCAATGGTTTTCCAGTCATTCGGGGTCAGTACCTGACTATCGGCCAGGAGGGCCATCAATTCCCTGACATAGGGGGAATTCAACTCCATAAGTACTTACTGCCTCTTAACTCCTTAAACGTCTTCCATTCTAAAGGGGCCCAGGTCCTCCCTCCGTCGGATTCAAACACCGGGCAGGCATCTAGCCATGCCTTGGCGTCCATATCTCCTTCTGCCACTGCCTTCTGGAGCATTTGTCCTAGCCTGGTTGGGGGGTCCCCCATGGCCCCATAAGAGGGAGCCAGAGGAGCGGATGGGCCATTCTCCTCAAAAGGGAAGTCCGGGGGAGGGGGCGACCCCTCCGCGTGATAGGCGGAGCTTTCCTTGCTACGGCTTCCTGCTCTCTTGCTCCTGCTCTCCTGCTCCTGCTCTTGCTTTCTTTTCCCTTGCTTATTCTCCCATTCCCTGTTTCCAGTGTCCTCTGCCTCACTCCCTGATTCTTCCTCACCGCTGATTTCCGCTTCTTTCACTCTTTTATATACTTCTTTCCCGAGCACCTCCCGATCTGGGACCTTAACAAACATCTGTCCCATCTTCCTTCCTTCACCCTATTGGCTACGGGTCTTGTCTCTCTTCCCGCGACCAGACCAGCTGATCCGCGGGGCCCCTGGCCTATTTCCTCCGCCCCACGTTGGGCGCCACTTGTGCCGGTCGCGCCGTGCACTCTCCTCCTATAAGGAGCAGGCTGCCAGGGTCATACTTACCAGTCTTTGGTGCCCACCCGGATAAACACAGAGACGAGCCGATCAGGAGGTGCAAACACTCGAGCTTTATTCAGAGGCCATCACAGCAAGGCCAAGCAGGAAAGCCACAGCAAGAGAGCAGGAGCAAGAGAGAGTGAGCTCCGACCCCTACCGCCCCTAAATACCTTCCTAGCCCCTCCTCCTCAGCCCGCCTACTAGTCATTGATTGTAGGATCAGATACCGGAAGGGGATGTCTGGGGTTAGCTCTGCACCAAGGGAGAGGATGTGACACAGGAGGCTAGGCCTGGATACAGGAAGGAGACGTCTGGGGTTAGTGCTGCACCTAGGGAGAGGACGTGACAAAGGGAGCTCGTTCTCTGCCGTCCCACTCCCACATGGCATAGCCCCCTGCCTCAGGAGCACATGCTCCGGCTACTTCCCTGTATCCTGTTCCTACCCCAGTTCACCACAACTCCATGTGGCACAGCCCCTTGCCTCGGGAGCGTGAGCTCCAGTTACTTCCTAATATCTTGTCCCTGCCCCATCTTGCCACAACCCCCACATGGCACGTAGCCAACATCAGACAATCCCTCACAAGATTTCTCCTCACTGTGAACTCTTTGATGTTGAGTAAGATACAATCTCTGGCTGAAAGCTTTTCCACATTCACATTTATAGGGTTTCTCTCCAGTATGAGTTTTCTGATGTCGAGAAAGGTCTCCCCTCTGGCTGAAGGCTTTTTCACATATATTACATTTAAAGGGTTTTTCTCCAGTATGAATTTTCTGATGTTCAGTAAGATTTCCTCTCTGGGTGAAAGCTTTCCCACATTCCCTACATTTATGGGGTTTCTCCCCAGTATGAATTTTCTGATGCTCATTAAGTTTTCCCCTTCTGGGGAAAGCTTTCCCACATTCGTTACATATATAGGGTTTCTCCCCAGAATGAATTTTCTGATGTTCAGTAAGGGATCCCCTCTGAGTGAAAGCTTTTCCACATTCACTGCATTTATAAGATTTCTCTCCAGAATGAATTTTCAGGTGTTTAGTGAGGCTTCTTGGATGACTAAAGTCTTTGTCACAAATGGTGCATATATGGCTTTTCCCCACTATGAATTCTCTGATGTTCAATAAGGCTTCCCCTTTGTGTGAAAGCTTTTCCACATTCGCTACATTTATATGGTTTCTCTCCAGAATGAATTCTGTGATGTTCAGTGAGGCTTTGTGGATGACTGAAGGCTTTTCCACATATGTTACATTTATAAAGTTTCTCTCTAGAACGAATTTTCTGATGTTCAGTAAGGATTCCCCTCTGGGTAAAAGCTTTTCCATATTCACTGCATTTATATGGTTTTTCTCCAGAATGAATTTTCAGATGTTTAGTGAGGCTTTGTAGATGACTGAAGACTTTTCTACATAATTTACATTTATATGGCTTCTCCCCAGTATGTATTCTCTGATGTTCTGTAAGGTGTCCCCTCTGGGAGAAATCTTTCCCGCAATCATTACATTTATAGGGTTTATCTCCATTATGAATTTTCTGATGTCAGGAAAGGCCTCCTCTCCGGCTGAATGCTTTCTTACATATATTACAATTATAAGGTTTCTCTCCAGTATGAATTATTCGATGTACAATGAGGCCTGAATGACCAGTGAAAGACTTCCCACATTCATGACAATGATAGGGTTTCTCTCCACTATGAATTCTGTGATGCTCAATTAGATATCGTTTTTGGATGAAGGATTTTCCACATTCACTACATTTACGGGGTTTGTCTCCATTATGAACTTGCTGATGTTCCGTAAGACGTCCTTGTTGGCTGAAAGCTTTTTCACATACATTACATTTATATGGTCTCTCTCCAGTATGAATCTTCTGATGTTCAGTAAGGTTTCCTCTCTGTGTGAACGCTTTTCCACATTCACTACATTTATAGGGTTTTTCTCCAAAATGAATTTTCTGGTGTATAAAAAGGTTTCTGTGATTGCTGAAGAGCTTCCTGCATTTGTGACATTCATAGAATTTCTGTCCACTACGAATTATGTGACACAGAATAAGGGATGAACTATTGCTTAAGGAATTCCTATAGTCACTACAATCAGAGAATTTACTCCCATTGTGAATTTCCCGATGTGGAATAATGTTTGTCAGTTGGCTAAAGGTTCTTCCACAATCTCTACAGGTATGTTTCCCTGCTGGATGACTTCTATGGTGTTGAGTAAGGCGTTGCCTCTGATGGAAAGCTCTGCCAAATCCAATACATGTATAAGGTTTTGCTTTAGTAATTATTTTGTGATCCTGAATAAGATCTGTGTAGTCACTAAAGGCTTTATTACACTCATTGTCCTTGTGAGATTTCGTTCCTGAGATTCCATTATGACTACTCAGGTCTGAAGATGGCTTGACATTATTTCCATGTGTGTCATATTTATAGAGCCTCTTTTTGGAAAAAACATTCCTGTGTAAACCAAAGACTAACTGCAAACTGAAATTTTCCCTAAATTTGTTACATTCATGTCTTTTTGCCTCATTATGAATCTCTTCCTGAGTTCCTGGCTTCAACTCTCTCTCCTTGTTGCACTGATGTCTATCACACTTGATATCACAACTGCAAGTTTCTCCAGGCTTAGCTTCCCAGGGACCAACCTTTCTAAGTCTGTACTTGGATGATTCTTCCACAGAAATGCCTTTCTCTTGTCTTCTGGGTCTCTAGCTTAGTTTCAAATTCTGAGTAAAGAAGAAAGGAGAAAAAAAGGAGAGAAAGGAAAGTAAATGCCTTCTATTTCCTGGGTGGGAAGAAAGGAAACTGATTCCAATTAGTCCTCATTGCTTTTCAAGAATATTTTCTGTGTGTAAGGACGCTGAAAGATACTAAACACCAGAGCCTTGCATTTTTCAAGAAGATTTGGAGGTTTCCAATATACGGTCTCTCTTGTGAGGTGTCAGGGAGAGCAAATGAGGTTGCTCTGGGGTTGAATAGGTCCCATAGAATTGGCATTAGTAAAAGGAAATCAGCTCTGTGAGGGAGCTTGTTAGAGAAATGGGATGGAAGTTGAGTAAGGTACTCTCCTGTCCCTTCTTTGGAAACAAAGGCTGAGAGAGAACTTCTCCTATCTAGACTCCTGCCTCATATAACTGCTCTCTCCAAGTACTTAGTCAACTCTTCAATTCTGAAACCATTCATTCTCCTGCCTTCTAGAGAGTGGAATATACTCTCCAGAATAAATAAATAATAATAATAAAATAATAAACTTAGTTTAGTATAAACTAAGTTCTTTCCTCCCAAATGATGAAATAACAAAAGGATTTAAGACTTAGAAGAGCTGCCTAAAAAAAAATAAAATAAATAAATGGGGCAGCTAGGTGGCGCAGTGGATAGAGTACCGGCCCTGAAGTCAGGAGGGCCTGAGTTCAAATCTGGCCTCAGACCAAACACCTGACACTTACTAGCTGTGTGACCCCGGGCAAGTCACCTAACCCCAACCGCCTTAAAAAAAAAAAAAAAAAAGACTTAGAAGAGCTGAATGACTGAAGAAGGGTCTTAAGAGGAATAAAGTAAGCAGAGGATCATCGACAAGCAGAACTCTGAGAAGCAGGCACTACTAAAATGAATTTGGCCCTGACCACTGGATACCTGTACTATCACTCCTAACTAGGCTCCCTACCTACAGTTTTTTTCTTTCAAACCCACTGAGAACATAATCATTTGATTAATCTAGCTCCAACAGCGATTGATTCATGTCACTAACATTTCAAAAGCCTCCACTTGTTTACTTCTCTTTGACTGATGGCTTGTTCTAACTCTCTGAGAAAGCAGCTGGGCTGCTCTCACCACACCGCCCTTCTCCTAGCCTGTGTATCAGCCTGAATGTGCCTCAAGAGGCTTGTGACTAAGCTCATGGCATCACAGCCCTCAGAGTTGGAAGGGATATTCACTTAGTTGGCCCCATTTCTGAGCAAGAAGAGCTTCAAGGACCTCCCTGACCAGACTTCTGGGGACAGGTAAATCACTACCCAACCTAGCAGCAAATTTGACATTGAGACAGTTCTAATTCATATGAAGCTTTCCCATATATCAAATTGAAATTTGCCTCTTCCAGTCACAAGTTTGCCCTGTGTGGACAAACAAGTACAATATTTTCCTCTTTATGATGGCCTTCAAAGACATGAAGAAAGACCTCAATGTTCTTTCCTCTAAATTAATCTTTCTATGGCAGGGTCACCAGTCCCCATGCCATCCTGGGCCCTCTCCTCTTGGGATATTCCACTTACCAACATCTTTTCCAAAATGGGCACATTCCTGAAAGGAGCAGTGATCAAAGTGAAGCAGGACCAGCCCCCTCCTTATTCTGGGCCTTTTAACAAGGGAGGCCCCCTGTCACCCCAGTCTGGAATCTGCTCCCTGCTCACCCTTCCCTCAGGGCATCAGAGGTTCCTTTCAAAGCCCAGCACAGCCGCCACCTTCTTCCTGAGGCCTTGCTCGATACCCCCAGATGACACTGCTCCCTCCCTCCCTGCCCTCTCCCCTTCCTCCTTTCTTGTTCTCTCTCAGAATGCCTCGGGTCTGGGTCTGGGCCCGCGTGGCATACACCAGGACCTAATTCATTTCTGGTCTTTGTGACTCCACGGCCTCATGCTGGGCTTGCATTGAGAACAGAATTATGTTTGTTCACAAGTTCCTGCTGGGGTTCTATCTGTGCAGACCCCAATGCCATCTGCTGTTCTGGCTGCCCTGTCACACTGCTGACTCGTTGCGCCTGGAGCCCACTCACACCCAGATTTGTCCTGGACAGAGCTTCCCCTGCCTCAGCTTCATCCCCAAGTCTAAGCAGAGCACTTTATGCCAGCTTAGAACCCACCTACACTGAGGGGACAGACACAGCCATGGAGTGGAAGCAAGGGAGGATCAGCACTGCAGAGGAAACTGAGGAAAGAAAGGCGAGCTCTCCCCAAGGACATAAACAGTGCTCCGAGACACTAGAGACACGCACGTCAGAGCCGGAACAAGCAGAGTGTGGAGAGGCCCCAGCCAGGTACCAGGCACGTCCAGCTCATCCAATACTCTCTCTGCACCTGCACATGCAAGGCTCTGGGACAGCTGCTGGAGACAAAAACCAAAAGAAAGCCCGACTGCCCCTTCTCCCTGGCTGCTGTCCATCTCCTCACTTTCCTGGCCTCTTTTAGGTCCGAGATAAAATCCTGCCTCCTACGGAAAGCCACTCAAGAGCCCCATGATTTTAGTGCCTTCCCTACTGGCTATTCCCCAGTCGTCCTGTATACAGAGTGGCTGTACAAAGGGGTTTGTGTGTGGTATCCCACTAGATTGGAAGCTCCAGGAGAGCAGGACTGTCTTTTGCCGTTCTTTGTATCCTGAGTCCTCAGTTCCTGGCACACAGTCAATGCATAATAGGTGTTTATTGACCAAATGACTGAAAGTCAGTCTGGCCCACAGCCCCTTATGTTCTCCTGGGGTGGGGAGAGATAACGGTCCGACAGAGCAGGGAGTGATGGGGACAGAGAGGCCAGACAAGCGCCTGGGAGTATCTGTGGAAGGAGGAGAACAGTATCAACTAGGGAGGTCGGGAAAGGCTTTGTGGATTCCCAGAAGAAGGTAAGCTTTGCGAGGGCAGGAACTGCTTCCTTTCAGCCCTTCTAGTTGCAGCGCCCAGGGCAGTGCTTGGCACCTATCTGGCACTTGTGGAATGGAACTGAATTGACCCGTATGGAGCCTGAGCTGTGTGCTCAAGGAAGAGACAAGGAATGGGAAAGGCCGAGAGGGCATTTTGTCACTTTGGCCCAGGGCCAAAGAAAGAGCATGGCCTTGGAGGCAGGAGCGTGTGGAACTCAGAGCTATCACTTAGCCGTTGTGGGACCCTGGCCAACACCCTTCACCTCTTAGAGGTGCTTCCATTTCTTCATCTGTAAAATGGAGATAAAAACATCTAGAGGACCAGGGTAGATGTGAAGTTCCGATAAGAGGAGGCAGGCAGAGCCTCCCCAAGTGCCTAGGAGAGGCTAGGACTCCCGCCAGCACGGTGTCCTCACCTGTACGGGGGCTTCTTGGCTCTTCCTCCAACGGCATCCACGGGCCTCCCCCACACTCCAGCTGGGAGATCAGCTCTGGTTTGGAAACCGGAAGCCCTACTCATGGGGAGAGAAGTGGGAGCACTCTCTTGAGTCCATCCCAGCTCCCTCCTCTTTAGGGAGAGGCTGGCATTCTGGCGGTGCCCATGGGGTGAGATGAGGCGAGGCCTCTGCTGGGCACTGTCCTGGGACCTGAGGGAGCCAATGTGGGGCTACACACCTGCTGCAGGCGCTTAATAAGCATTTGTCATGGGGACTCGGGCACAATGCTCCACTTGGGGGACAGAATTCAGGCAGGGGCAGCCCAGGGAGGATGCCCGTTTCTGATGGCAGAGCTCCATCTGGCCACAGGGACACAAACAGTCTCACAGATGGAAAAGGTAAGGCCTGAGGCCAAGGCCAGACTCAGCTAAGCACATGTGTGGACAGGCCATAGCTTGTGGTGAGCAAGGCCACAGTGATGCTGGGAGGGGCAGGTTCCACGTGCCAGCAGGAAGCCAGGCTCCTTACCCAGGAAGACGAGGTGCCGATAGTTCTCCAGCATGACCTCTCGGTACAGGCTCTTCTGAGCGGGGTACAGGCATCTCCACTCCTCCTGGCTGAAGGCCACAGCCACTTCCTGGAAGGTCAGTGATGGCTGAAACACCAAACACACCCGTCACCCACAGTCCAGCCCCTCCCATGCACTGAGAAGCCCCCGCGGGGAAGCGAGGACTCAGAGTTCACGTTCCAGAGGGTCTCAAGCCTGATAGAGACTGGATATAGAGGATGGGTCTCCCTCATTCACCATTTTTGTGATCGATCCCTTTGGCAGTCTGGGAAATCCTTCAGACCCTTCTCGGAAAATTAGTATTTTGTTTCTAATTAAAAATGAAAGGAAACACTACATTTCAGCTAGAAAGTAAGGAAAGTAGAGGCGTAATGACTTGTTTCCAGTCCAAGTTCACGAACTCTCTGTTGGTTGAGAACCTGTTCTGAGCCAGAGCAGCTGAACACAGATATAAATGACCCAAGAGGGTCAGTGTGAAGCACTCAGACTTTTGGGACACCCTGCCCAGACAAAACAACATCTAGAACTCAGATATTAGAGGGCCTGACTGGGCACAGCTGAACAAACGTGGGATGTGAAGGGGGCTCAAAACATGGTGTCTGGAGGGAGGCAAACCCAGGGGGCGAGGCTAAGAGAAAGGACACAGTTCTGAATAAGAATCCAAGTTCTCTTTCTTCTCCTCCCCTCTTGCTTGGTGGAGCTACAGAGCTGGGCCTGGAGTCCTGAAGATCTCAGGTCAAATGCAGCCTTGGACATGCCCCAGCTGTGTGATCCTGGGCCAGCCACTTCACCTATGCCTCAGTTTCTCCAACTCTAAAATGGGAAAAATCATACCACCTTTCTCCCAGGGTTGTGGTGAGGATCAAACTAGGTGACATTTGTAAAGTGCTCAGGGCCTCACGCTTCCAAAATTAAAAAAAGAATCCTTGATAAAAACAGGCAAAGTCAAACAAAATACATTCCTCTGCTGGTGCTGTCCCAAAGATCCACGTCTCATTCCGTCTCCTGAGTCCTTCAGCTCCTGGAATGTCTCAGAGAAGGAGGCAGCACCAAGGGGAACACCTGGGAAAGCTGCTATTGCAGACTCGTCCCTGGAGGGAGGCGCATCACTTTGGACACAGCCCACGGGCAGCCCAGGACTTGTTTAAAGGACAACATGAGATGCCCAAGAGCATTACCAATACGTAGGAAATGTCCAGCAGAGGGCACTGCAATTCTGAGGTCACAGAAGTGCCCAGGGTCATCTGTAACCATCTCTTTGGTTGTTCTCTGAATAGTGAAATGTTCTCGCTTGCATCATCATCATCAAAGACCCTGGAAGGCACTTATGAAGTGCCTACTGTGTGCACAGTGTTAGGTGGGACCCAAGGGGCCATGCATGGTCCCTGCCCTCATGGAGCTGACAGTCAATGACAGATCCCTACTATCCAGCACTGCCAGACAGCCCCCTTGCCTTCCAATGGTGGCCGACAGCATCACCACTCTGTGCCTCGGTTTCCCCCTCAGCTGGCTGACCCCCCAAGCACCCTCCCGGTTGCAGGGATGTATGGACTCTGCAACCATCACACTTTGGAGCAGGGGCTTGAGGACCCCAAGGGGACCCATACTCCATCGAGGACTGTCCACTCACCAGGGAGCCGGGTGCTACTGGGAGCCCAGAGGTCACTCCTTCCTCAAGCTGACCTCTGCTCATCTCTCGGAGGAGGGCAGAGTCTGGGGGAGAAGAAGGGGAATCAGCACTCAGCCCTGCCCAGACCCTTCCCTCACTGCCCCCACCCAGCAGGCCTGTCATGCTCACCTCTGTCCATTGTCCCAGTCTCCATGGCGACCTGGCCTGGGTCCTCCTTTCTGGGGGCTTCTGACTGGATGTACGTCCTGCCCCCCCCCAGGCCTCAGAATCTGCTCCTCGTCCTCAGCCACTGCCCGGAAGCTCTGGGGAAAGGTCTTACCTGGTCAGATTAGTCCCCCCAGATCAGTCCCCCAGGGGACTCCAACAAGGTCAAGAGAGCTGGACCCTCCCCAGGGGCTGCACTCTACCCCAGCCCCAGCCTCAGCCC